TTATTTAATAAAATTTCAAATATAATTTAATCTAAAAATTCATCCAATACTGCTATCAAAATATAGATGGATCAAAATTCAATCTAAGACGTACATGCTCCCAAAATATTATCCGTGCCTAACTTGCCCAGAATTGGTCTCAATATAACCCTAAAACTCCGTTTGGTACAATGAAAAAAATAAAAAGATAAAAAAATTAGAGGGATAGATAAAATTGTTTATTTGGTAAAGAAGGAAGGAAAATAAGAATAATAAAAAAGTGGATAAATAAGCTTTCCTTTCTATTCATAAAAATCAACCTGTCCAAAATTATAAGAAAAATGAATAAAATTTTAATTATTTGTGTTGAAATGTATCTTCTTTGTTTATATGTCCTATAATATATACATATATTATGTATACAATGATAAAATATGTATTTATATTTTTTTAAAAAATAAAATTAAAAAAATATTTTTTCATCTATTCTACTAAACACAAACGAGAAAAAATGTATCATTTATACTTTTTATTCTTGGAGGATAGAAAATGTATCTTTTTTATTTTTCATTTCTTCTATTTTTTATTATTCCTACCAAACGAAGCATAAAAAATAATTTAAATAGTAATAAAAACGAATCATAAATCTAAATGTCTAGAATTCAAAATTTAGTAATTCTATAAGAATTGGCCTAATGTTAAAAGGCATTGCATTGGATTGGATAGGATAAATAAAGTCAAACAGCATGTTTTTTGCGGATAATATATAACGTCATCTCTTACATGGACAATCTTAGATTTTGTTGTATACGCTTTCGGCATCCATCCATACAAGGAGGAAGTTACTCTTTGACAAAATCTTTTTAGTTGACAATCTTATTTTGACGACGCATGTCGCATGCTTCATGACTATCTTGACAAAACAAAGCAAAATAAAACGAATGCAATTCACGTGGTGTTTTTGGACAGGTAAGTCTGACACCACACCACTTACCTTAAAACAAAAAAGGCTTATTATGATAAATTTGAATTTTAAAAAATTAAAAATAAGACAAAAGCTTGGTTTTATTTTTCGACAATCCAAATATACTATTGAATAGTAATTTTTAAACACCATACCCTATATCACACATAGAAATTTGAGAGCGTAAACGATTATGTTAGGAGTTTAAAATGATTATGTTGACTAAGATCATACCTCTAGTTTTTATTTAATAAAAAATGATAAATATAAGTATATATATATATATAATATTTTTTATTTTAAAATTATTAATCAAAAAATAATAATATTAAACCTTGAATTAATTTTATACCATTACATCTAGCCTTATCCAATTCGTAGAAGTTCCAGTTTTGTTTTTTGTTTGAACAAATGAAACGGTCCGAGTTTGAATTTCCACATTCCTTTGCGGCTCAAAGGCCAAGACAAGAAGGAATTGTCTCTTAATCCTCTGTATTTGTTGTTGTCGTCCAAATAATGCGACAAAAATCAGTCAAATACAAGGGCATATTCGTCTTCTCACCCCCCACCGCCCCTATAAAATTAGTCCTATGACCTACCCTTACATTAATCCCCAAATTGAGCTTAAGACAATAAAAACCCACGAAAAATAATCGAACACACCGAACCAGAAGACCGCCACGTGGACTCAATTGTACAGCCTGGGCCCACACTCATGATCTTTAACCTTTTTCTTTAAGACCAATTATTTTGTGTATCCCAAAATTATTTAAAATTGTATTCTTAAATAGTAGGAGTAATTTTTTTTTTTTTGTAGTATATCTTTAATATATTAAAAACATTATAATATTACTCTTGCATTAGTTTTTGTTGCTTATTCCGTTTGGGGTTAATAATTGAGTTGAGTTTTACGAGTTTTAGTCGAATCTCTCAAGCTCGAAGTTGAGTCAAGTGAACCCGAGCTGAGGCCAAACATCTCGACTATTTTATATATAAATGAGCTGAATTTTGCTAGTTTGTCTTTTTTTTAAATAAATCTAAAAAATTGTTTAAGTATTGTTCGAATTCGATTCATTTATCAGCTCTAATTCCATTTATGTCAAAAATGATATTTTTGATCAAATGAGTCATGAAAGCTATGGAAGGGTTCGTCGTAACACTTTTAATATACTGAGTAATGTAAAAAATTTAATTTTTAAGGTTTAAAAGTAAAAATTATTAAATATTTTAGGGTACAAAGTGTGAATCCCTCTTTCCTTTATTAATTTATATTGTAATTTTCCACTTCAATTGGGTAAAGGTGAATTCAGTACACAGTCATCGACAAAAGCGAACTCATCGTCGCTTACCCTTAATCACCATCTTCAGATCCCTCTTTTTGTCTCCTCATCGCCCAAGACAAAGTTTCAATGTAAATCAGTGGATTACCCAGAAAACAACTTTCAGTTTTTTCGGCTTAAATCTTCATGTAGTACTTGTAAACTACGATTTTAAATATATTGTGTTTGGGGAGGAAGAGAGGACAAGTACCAAAATGGGAATTTGCGCTTCCAAGCCCTCCCCAGAACCCAATCTCTCCGACAATCATCAATCCACAAAGAAAATCCCTGTTCCGGTAGAGGGTAAGTTTGTTCCGGTTGAGGATAACGCTAAACCACCTGAAAATGCTGAAACCCATGGTAATCAAACTGTCAAGAAGGAAGAAGGGACCGAGGTAAGTAAGAAAACGCCGTTTTTCCCGTTTTATAGTCCAAGTCCGGCCCATTATTCGTGGTTGAAGAAGTCTCCGGCGAGATCTCCCGCGAATGGGAGCTCGAAATCGACGCCTAACCGGTTTTTCAAGCGGCCGTTTCCGCCGCCGTCGCCGGCGAAGCACATTCGAGCGGTGTTGGCGAGGAGGCACGGGTCGGTGAAGCCCAACGAGGCGGCGATACCGGAGGGGAATGAATCGGAGAATGGAGTTGCGGGTTTGGATAAGAGTTTCGGGTTTTCGAAGCATTTTGGGGACAAGTATGAGCTTGGGGATGAGGTTGGAAGAGGGCATTTTGGGTATACTTGTAAGGCCAAGTTCAAGAAAGGTGAGCTTAAGGGACAAGATGTTGCTGTTAAGGTCATACCCAAAGCGAAGGTTCGAAATTTTTACTCTTAATTTTTCTGTTTGGATTCGAATTAGTGATAATTTGCATGAATCGTGAGTGATCTGTTTGATTTTGTGTTTGTGGAACTGAGTTTGATGAATGTTCTCGAGGTTGTAGTGATCAGATCTGCAGGCAATTTTTTGGGATGAAAATAAGATTTTATACTTTTTGTTGTATAGTCTAGTTGGTCGTTTATGCATTCTTTTAATTGCAAGAATAGCCACCTCATGATACATAGTTGTGAAATCTTATAGGACTGAGTTGCAAAATGTGAAATTTCTCAAGTACCATTGAAATAGTTTAGTGTTCGTTTATAGTCTATCATTAATGTTTGTTTGTACTGGTGTGATTTTTTAGATGATCCGTAATGTGTATATAGTGTTCGATTATTTTGGCATTAGACAAGGGGATTCATTTGAGATTGAATGCAAAATTCAAATATTGTGGTAGTCTTTCGTTTAAGTTGGTGAAGTTTTGTTGATGGAACTGCCAAACGAATCTTTGGATACTGTTGTTTTGCTTTGTGATTCACTGATCATATGAATCAAATCATTTTCATTTGAGTGAATCTTTATCGTTGATTACTAACCTATTTGATGTAATTTGATATATTTTCAGTTGCTTCTTGTTTTATTATTGCATATAATCGTTAGTTTATTTGTTAAGTTTTCTGATGTTGAGTCCTATGTTTAAAATCTACACTATTTATTAACATTGGAACTTGCTTTAATTCTATTGGTGGAAGTACAAGTTTATGGACAGGGCATGATTTGATTCAATAAGCAGTATTGTTAGTTCTTAATTTTTGGGTATTCTTTTCTAACTCCTTGCTCATTTTTGTATCCAGATGACCACTGCCATAGCCATTGAGGATGTGAGAAGGGAGGTCAAAATATTGAGAGCTTTGACCGGACATAACAATCTAGTACAATTTTACGACGCATTTGAAGACCATGATAATGTCTACATAGTGATGGAGTAAGCTTTGATCTTTACACCTACTCTTGAATTTTATCTTATTCCGTGAATTGCTGTATCTCTACGGGAACCGATTGCCTGACTAGTGATGATATGTGTACTGCTTAAGACTAAGCTTCTTTGCTACTTATATCTGATTTAATTAATACTTTTTTTTAGTCTTCATTTCCCCTTAAAATATTTTTATTCATTTTTCATTCGTGTGCTGAAAAGCGCATATTTTTGCAGATTGTTTCTGGTATCAAAATCATAAAGTGTGTCAATAATTTACTGATTGTAATACATTCTCAGGTTATGTGAAGGAGGAGAGCTCCTGGATAGAATACTTTCAAGGTAATAATATTAGTTTTAGTTCATCGAATTTTGTACTTTTTGGCGTCTACCATAAAAGGGGAAATTGTAATTTGTCAAAGAACAGGTTCTTTAAAGATCAATAGCATATGATATGTTTTGTTGCTTGGCCTGCAGGGGTGGGAAATATACTGAACATGATGCAAAAGCTGTGATGATGCAAATATTGAGTGTTGTTTCATTTTGCCATCTCCAGGGTGTGGTGCACCGGGATCTTAAGCCAGAGGTGAGGGATATTCTCAAGTTTGAACTGCCTATGTATAAGATTTATATTTTATACCTGTATATTGGTGTGTAGAGGAGGTTGAGTGGACTAAATTTGCATACTTCCAACTTAGAAAGGTTAAAAGTAGGCTTCTTATCATTAATAAACGTATGCAAAATCATTATAAACCCTAGTGTCTTTCATAATCCACAAGCTTGGTTATTACTTTCTTATGACTGTTGATTTTGTAAAATGCTGTTCAAATTTGTTCAAATCACTATGGTCATTATTTTTTTGGGTTAAGAATGAAATAATATGGTGATATTTTTGGGTGCAATCCGATTTGAAATTAGTAGAGATTTGGCTATTCAAACCATCCCACCCATAAAAAAAAGAAAAAATTATTTCACTACGATTTTAAATTTAAATGATCCATGAAAATTTTTTCAACTTGAGGATAGTATTTTGATTCGCCAAAATTTGGTACAATCTTTAGTTATCATTGCAGTTGTTTACAATATGTGTTATTTGCAATGGCCTTTGGTGTTATATTTGTATTCTTTATCTAACTGTAGCTAATTGGTGGATCAGAATTTTTTGTTTACATCTGAGGATGAAAACTCACAACTGAAGACCATAGATTTTGGGTTGTCAGATTTTGTGAAGCCAGGTATCCTTGATTCTTGATGAACTGTTCTGATATATATATAATGATAAATTGATCCGCAAATCAGTTGAATAGTTCTAATATTTCAAATGTTTTTTTGTAGATGAAAGGCTTAATGATATTGTTGGAAGTGCATACTATGTAGCACCTGAAGTTCTTCATAGATCTTACAGTACAGAGGCCGATGTGTGGAGTATTGGTGTTATAGCGTATATTCTTTTGTGTGGCAGCCGCCCATTTTGGGCTCGTACTGAGTCGGGGATCTTTCGGTCCGTTTTAAAAGCTGATCCAAGTTTTGAGGAACCACCTTGGCCTTCTCTGTCTTCTGAGGCTAAAGATTTTGTCAAACGTTTATTGAACAAGGACCCACGGAAAAGAATGACTGCTGCTCAAGCCTTGTGTTAGTGTCTCAACTCACGTCATGAGCATTGAGCTTTTTGTTGTTTACATTCTGGAAGTGCTACTAATAAATTTCCCGATGCAGGTCATCCCTGGATAAAAGATAGTAATGACATAAAAGTGCCGCTGGATATATCAATATTCAAACTCATGAGGTCTTATATGCGTTCTTCTGCTCTCCGGAAAGCTGGTTTACGGGTAGGCACATGATGCTACTAGAAACTGATCTTTTTTTTCTCTTTTTTCCTTAAATTTTTATTTGATGTGTCTGCATGGACTTTTACTAGAGTTTCATTACCCACAATCTGCCTTCTCTCTTTATTAGCTAATATTTTTCCTTCTGTCCTCTATATCAATAACCAGACTGCAACAATCAGGAACTGATTTTCAAACTGTTTGGTGTAGCCTTTGACTATTATGTTTTTTGTGTTATAAATGAAACTTATCCATAGCAAAGCTGGTACCTGTTTTACTTGTTTATGCAGCATATGCTTGATATTTTGTGCCAGGGTAGCCATTCATAGTTTTCAAAACTAAAATATCATCTGCACTTAAGCTTAAGTGATTTTTCATTACTCTAAAGAACAATGATAGATGTAAATTAACAAAAGTTCTTCTAATGCTTACAATCCATTGTTTCTTTGCACCTTTTTATTAATGGGAAACTACTTTCTCACATTGAGCCAAGACAAAGTAGACAATACATACTGATTATTGCTTCAGTATATGCAATGAATGGCAGGAACAAATTCCAACTAGATTCTACTTGCTTCAAATGTACCTGTGATAGTTACAATATTTTTCCTTTTGAAGGTTTGTTGAAAGTACCCTTTGCTCATTTGTTATACCTTACTAAGGCACAGCAGCCTTTGTCTTCCTTCTATGATGCTGCTTCTTAGGTGTAGCTTGGGAGAGAAGTAAATAAAGAACTACTTAGGTTGTACTCGGTACCAATTCCTGGAAAGAGTAGTTCTCAATTCTTGTGATAGTTTTCATGTAAACCATTTGTTGGCTGTATATTTGGAGTGGAAACCATTGTAGCCATTGGGCTTTCGGAGGATGATGCTGTAACTGTAAGCAGGGCTTGGAAATTAATGACTTTCTTTTTCACACACTGGTATTGACCATATGGTCCTGAAATATTATCTCTGGACAAGTGCTTTTTGTAAGGGGTTTTTAAAGTGATCGCAATCACACATGCCATAGTTAGGCTGTGAGATACATTCCTAGTGCAATTATCCTTCAGTGAGATATGGTTAATCATATGTTTATTTGTAATTCTTACTGTCTGTTTTTTGTATTTGTTTCAGTTTTCATGCACTATGCTTTTCATGTACATCTCCTACTAGTTTGTTTTCTGATTTTATTTTTTATGGAATGTGGCAGGCTTTATCTAAAACGTTGACTGTGGATGAGTTATTTTATTTGAAGGAGCAATTTTCGCTGTTGGAACCAACCAAAAACGGCACCATATGTTTGGATAACATTAAAAAGGTTAGTTTCTTGATAAATGTTTAAATTGCATTGCTGTTTTTGACTTAAATGAGTCTCTCAACTTCTATGATTTGGTCAGGCCTTGATGAAAAATGCAACAGATGCTATGAAGGAGTCCCGAGTCCATGATTTCCTAGCATCAGTATGTTCTTTCACTACCATGATAGGCATCATAATCAATTATGTCTTGCATGACGTTCTAACTTTTGAGTGGTGAACTCTTTTGTCTTCTTTGTTGGCAGCTTAATGCACTTCAATACAGAAGGATGGATTTTGAGGAATTCTGTGCAGCTACATTAAGTGTTTATCAACTTGAGGCTCTTGATCGATGGGAGCAACATGCTCGTTGTGCCTATGAGCTTTTTGAGAAGGATGGGAACAGGGCCATTGTCATTGAAGAATTGGCATCGGTGAGTTGAACTCTTGTTTCCATCTAAAAAAGGAATTTCACCTTTTGATTTCATTGAATACAAATGCAAATGTTATCCATTTACGCAAGTCTCTATCCATTTCCTGACACAAGGGCTGAGACAGTTCTTGTATCCCTATAATCTTGTGTACTATGCTGGTTAGTACATCAGTGGCAAAAATTAAAACCTGATCTACGGCATTCTGTAAATATTGTTCCAGGAACTTGGGCTCAGCCCTTCTGTCCCTGTTCATGCCGTTCTCCACGACTGGATCAGACACACAGATGGAAAGCTTAGTTTTCTTGGGTTTGTCAAATTGTTGCATGGTGTGTCTAGCAGGACCATTACAAAAGCTCAATAACATTGTGAGCCAAATTGATGCTTGCCCATTGCCTGGTTGGCCGCTAAATATGCAGATAAGAGCGATTACAATCATTTTTTACTATCTTCATTCTTCTGGGATTTCCAAGGCTGAAAATATGGTGCCAGCACAGTTCATTTGGGTTTTTCCATCATGTCCATGGCAGAAGCTTGTGTCCATGCGTACTTTTAGAGAACATTTGAGTTGTTGCCGGTCGCAGCTACGTCAGCCTGTATTTCCTACTGTAAAGTCTGTAGCTGAGACCGTTTCAGAATTTGTTATTAGAGAGTCGTAAGTCATGCATGCCTGATGTTGTTGTTCTAACATATTGGACCCACCTGATGATATGTCGTCAATTGCCTTGTAGCTTATTATAACGACGACAACCACAATGGCAGCAAGTGAGAAAATTACAAACCTATCTGTTGTGTTGTGAAAATATCTTTCGTTTTTTTGTTTTTTTTGTGCTATTTATTTTTTGTAATAGGGCAACTTTAAATTTTGGATTCACACAGATACTGTGTGGTAGCCCATAAAGTCCAGACATGTATGTGTACTCTCACTAGTGACACGTGGCATAATGAGATATTATAGTACAATAGCATGAGAGAATATTCAACACGACGGTGAGTGCACTCCACTTGAGTAATTGTTGATTTATATGGAATAATAATGGGTAGTTATCTGTTTATATAAACAGGTAGTTATTTGTGTGAGGTCATTTCTTTATTTATCTGTATATTATTGTTTGTTAATACTTAATACTATATGATAATGTTGACGTGGTATTGTTATTTTTTCTATTGAAAGATTTTTTTAATAGCACACATTCATTTAGGTCGATAGGATCCTTGTCTATAAAAATAAAAGTAAAAGCACGAGGTTTTGAATATTCGCTTATTACTTTCACCTTTAAACTCGACGCAACATTGTTTGCCTCCTTTGCAGCGGAAATGCTAGGCAAAGCATTGTCTAAAAAACCAAGATTGGAATGGCAAAGATTTAGAGGCAATGTGGACGCGAATTTGATTCGTCTTTTCTACTGCAGAAGTAAATGCCTTTAACTGGGATCGTGGGCATAACGCAAGTGTAGATCACTAGTAAGACCTCGATCGCTACCTTTAGAATGGAACCCTGAACCCTCGGAGAACATCAGAAACCCATTAGATACTCAAAAAGGGAAAGTCCATTAATAGGATACCGTTGATCGACTGGTCCAAGAAATCAAAAAGAGAAGTCCCCACCATAAGATAAGAAAGTAGGACTCTCCTCAAGGGAGAAGTGAGTAGCGCAAAAGGACAAACATGATTGTTAGTCTTGGCTTTGGGTTAGGCTTTGAAAGTTTAGTCCGATCGAGTAAGTCTTTTAGTGTAAGATTCATTTCTCACAGGGTTATTCGTTGCCAGGATCTTAGGAGACTTTTGATGGTGTGAAAAAACTGAAAAGATTAAGGTGGAATGAGTTGGGTGAATTGTAAGTTAAATGTCTTGAGTGTTTGAGGTGAAATGAATAAGAATGCATAGGAATAGTGTAATTCACTCAACTGAAGATCTGGGTTAGTCTACTGTAATTGAGATTGAGACTTTTACTATTTGGAGTGTATTGCTTTGAGGAAGACGGCGAGTACAATAGATATCCCCTAGGTCAGCTTACGTGTGCTCACCCTTTATACATTATTAATCATTATCTTTTATAACCGAATTGTTAGAGAATATTTGACCGTTAGAGAAATTTTTTTCTAGGCGTGGCATGGCTTTCTAAAAGCGATGACGCAACATTTTAAAAGTGGTGACTTCTTACCCAAGATAGGGTTTGTTAGTGAAAGTCATCATCTACCCCTTCTGGTAATTTTCGTGTTGTTGGTTGTCTTTGGGGGATTCACAGCTGACCCACACCATTCCAGGTCAGCTCGGCATATGGTGATCTAGAACGCTATCTTGATCCATCTCTAGTCCGAGCTAGACATTTTATTCTGGTACCATCAATTTCAATTAGAGGAATCAATGGTCTGGGTCAACATAGGACATGTTGAAAATTTTGGATTGGTGTCTGGAGGATCGAGATTGTGAAATGTTCTTTGAGTAAACAACTTGATGTGTACCTCAAAGTGTTGGGAAAATAGGTTTTTCCACAAGTGTAAATCAATGGAAGCAATATAAATAAAATAACAGAAAATAAATAAGCACACAAGATTTACGTGGTTCCCTCAAATAACTTGAGGTACATCCACGACGACCGGTAGGTCAGTTTCTTCCACTATCACCAAATCAGATTACAAAGTGGCCAAAAGGCATAAGCCTTACAAACACACCAAGGTGTAAATCACAAGAGGAAAATACCTCACAAAATAAGTGAACCAAATCTCCAAGAACAAACCGCAAGAAACCCAAATATCAAGTGAAGAAATGTTACCCACTTGAAGAACAAATTTGCAGATTTTTCTGGCACCAAAAAGGAGAAGAAGAAGGCTGAATTTTTGTTGAACCAAAGACTGCCGAAAATATGTCTTCTTGCCAAACCAACAAAGAAAAGATGAACCAAAGAAAATGACAAAACTTATAGTCTTTGGTGGCTGCCAAATTCCTTTTAACTTGAAGACTCCAAACCAAGTCTTATATAAGAGTCATACACGGGTAAGCCACCAAAAAATTAGCAAATTGATGAGTCCCACAAAGGAGGAAAACCCAACAATTCTCCCCCTCCCGACTTATGTGGAGGATTCGACCATTCCCGCCAAAAGTCGACACTTCTCATGCTTGTCCTTAGTCAATGCCTTAATTAACATATCCGAAGTGTTATCATCAGTGTGAATTTTTTCAAGTTGTAACAACTTATCATTCAAGACATCACGAATCCAATGATATCTAACATCAATATGTTTCGATCTCGAATGAAATGAAGAATTCTTGCTCAAGTGGATTGCACTCTGACTATCACAATGAATGACATACCTTTCTTGTTTCAAACCCAACTCTTGTAAGAATTCCTTCAACCACAATAATTCTTTGCAAGCTTCAGTGATGGCGATGAACTCAGCTTCTGTGGTGGAGAGAGCAACACATTTCTGTAATCTTGATTGCCATGCCACTGCTCCCCCTGCAAAAGTAATCAAATAACCAGAAGTAGATTTTCGACTATCAACATCACCAGCCATATCAGAATCTGTGAACCCATCAAGAATAGGCTCGCCTTTACCAAAACACAAACTCATCTTTGAAGTGCCATGAAGATACCTCATAATCCATTTCACTGCTGCCCAGTGTTCTTTCCCTGGATTAGACAAAAATCGACTGACAACCCCAACTGCGTGAGCAATATCCGGTCGAGTACAAACCATGGCGTACATCAAAGAACCACTGCTGAAGCATAGGAATTTTCTGCATCTCATTTTTCTTTCATCACTTGTAGGACTGACTTGGTGAGAGGTAGAGGGAGAGAGAGAGAGTCGATTTATGCTCCAAATGCTCCAAAGGGTAAGATAAGTTTACGTACAAAAAAAATGAATAATTAAAAAATTAATCTAATTTATTGATGTAATACTGTGACAGTAATGTGATTCAATAATATTGTTATAACTATAACTCTTATGGTCTGTTTGATAGGATGAATAAAAAAATAGAATGATGAAAAATATGAGTAATATATTTTTTCTCATTTGTGTTTGGTAAGAGAGATAAAAGCAGAAAAAAAAATTTGAATTTTTTTGTGTTTAAGAAGATGGAAAAAGTATTTTATTTTATAATTTTATTTTTGATTTTATTTTTGATTTTTTATTAAACTGATGTATATATAATATGTAATTGATAAATATAATATACATATATATCAAATAATATATAAATAAATAATATACATTTTAACACACATAATTAATTTTTTATCTATTTTTCCTCCTAATTTTGGAGAGATTGATTTTAGTAAATTGGAACGAAAGTTAATTCATCCACTTATCTATTTTTTTTGTTTTTCTTCCTTACTAAATATAATGTTTTATTCATCCTTTCAAGTTTTCATTTTCCTAACTTTCTATCTTTTCATTGTTTCATCGTACCAAATGTAGCATTAAACTTGTTTATTGATACTTTATTACTTATCATATCATTATATCAAAAAATTAAATTTAATTTTTTGAGTCTCAATAATATTTATAGGACCCCCTAACCCAATAGCTCACATTGATCTGGTAAACAAATTTGATAATTTTTAAAGGAAGTCTAACAGTACTCCTATTTATTTTTTTTCAAGGCTTTGGTACTTGGCAATCATTGATTGGCAAGGCCCTTAGCCACCAACAAAGAATAAGGTTGCATTTTTTCCACCACCAACCAACAAGGGTCAATAGACTAAATGAAGAAGAAAATGATAAAACCAAACCACCCCCAGACTCCTCCAATGCATGTTCCAATTTGGTAGGTTTTATGCACCTTTCATTTGAATGATTGTACCTTAGACCCATAATGTAATTTAAACGGCCCCACTCTAACTCCATCCAAAATCTTTAATTTTTTACATCGCCTACTCTCTCAAACTCAACATCGATTATAATTTTACTTTTAAAGAGAATTTTATAATTTGAATTGTATAACACTAAATCTAACGTAATTCGAAGATCGAATATGAATCCAACAAATGAATCCAAGCATTGGACATGAGTTTAAGAACATGTGCCATATTAGGGATGAATGTTTCGGGTTAAAGTCGGCTTCGTATAAAACTTGGATTGTGAGTTTTTATAACTTTGAGTTGATCCAGTTGACCGTTCAACCTGTCTTCCCAACACAAGTTGTACTGTACACCAATAAGTGCAAGTCTAAATAGAAAATGACAAAATAATAACAACAGCAACCGCCTACCATCTATGTAGCATAAATTATATTTTATATCCTCAATTATAAAAAAAAATTATATTATACCCTAAAATATCAATTTTATTTTATATCACAATCTAATTTATAATGACTGTCAATTTTTTGACAATAAATAAACACGTGAGTGATTTATACTACCAATAAGCAACTGTCTACTGCACATGTGAATGTCAAAAATCAAGAAAAATATTTATTTATAACTTTGTCCTTCCTATACTCCAAATTCTCTTCTTCTAGCCGATCTTTTATTTTTTTCTAACAATCATTTAGTTACAAAAGGGGTAAACTAAATTGATACTAGGTACTTGGCGGAAATTCTTTGAGGTTTTCCTCCCTCCTTTAAAAGATTTTTCAAATTCATCATTATGTATTGAAATGATATGAACTAAAATTGATATTTTAAAGTATAATATAAGAAATTTTATAATTAAAGATATAAATTAAAATAAATATAATAGTTTAGGGGGTGAACTGTAATTTACTATACTATATATTTATAGATGGTGGAACTGCATCATCTAGTTTCTTATTACATTAATCAGCTATATTAATCATTTCTTTTCTCTCTTATCCACATCTTCCAAAAGATGTTTATTGATTAAATAATTTTAAATTTGTACAAATTATTCTTTTATAAATAATTTTGTGACATATGCATTTCGTTCAGCACAAATTTTTGAGAAACAAGATTGGGACCCATCTCTACAGTTTTCCATTCAAAGACTTCTATGGCTGTTAGGAAATTTCAATGCGAAGTTTGTGGCTCTGGTCATCCCATG